TCATTTGCCAGCTTCTAATTCGAATTTTCCTTTTCCACCTTGAATGGTGCAACAGTTACATTCTGGCACGTCAGGCACCATTTAAGGTGGAACAGGAAAGTTCAAACAAGAAGCTGGTGAATGAGAAGCGACTTCAGTCTTGTAAGAAGTCGAACGTTAAAAGACATTTTATAACAAACTGTTCTACTTTTGCGGAAAAGTTTCCTGATGGAGATGCGAGAAAAGTGGCTATAGCTGATCTAAAGCTTAAAGCAGAGCAAAGTAAGTCTGCAGTCATGTTTAGATTATATTTTTTTAGCATATACTAGTACATTAGCACGTGCTGAGACATATTTACAGCCAAGATGGTAAAATGCACATAAAATATTGCAGCTCCCAACATGGTTTGACTTTTGTTGAAAGAACAAAATGGCTCTTCTTAACATTTGGGTTGCGACTCTTGCGATAGTCTGATGTTATGATTTAGTGTATCTAGAAAATGTAAATAAAAAATTACTTAAAACAACGGGTTGCCTTCCCCTTTTAATAGATCTCTGCCTACATCACGCCTCTGCTTGTTAGTGGTCTTTTTGCAGTGAGCCTAAACCTCTCCCTCATTCTGGCTTGCCAACTGATTTTATCATTATCTGATGCTACTTTTAATAGATTATAACTTACAAGGGTTTTTACTGCAAGATGAGCTGGTGGCTCATGGCACCCTTAAAATCCCAGGCTTATCACATGCAAATGCTTATTATTCAGTAACCACAGGGACTTCAGTGTAAATTGGTTGAGCTATTCTTAGGTTATAGAAGTGTGTAATATAACTTTGGGCCCACCAGCAGAGAGGTTAAAACGTTAGAGATAAAAAGGTTAGAGGGTTAAAATGTTAAATGTTAGAGGCTTAAAATGTTAGAGGGTTAAAATGCAGCTTGATTTCTTACTTTCATACTGACTGCAGGCCTCTGCTGTGTATAACATACTCGAAGGCCTGGGCCATCCAACCACCCTCACAGCCATGGTTTCCAAAAAACCAGGAGCAGTCCACCAGCTGTTGCTTGCTCAGGGACACCAGCTTCCTCGTTTTCCAGAACATCTGACCCTCTAGCGCCCGCCTGAGGAAAACAGAGACAAAGAAATGCTAAGTGTTGGTTCTCTACTTCAAAATTATTAATGTAGTGGCTTCTTAAGTGAGCAAAGAAAGAGAAGAGACATTAAACGCCAAACAATACAAAAATACAGACAAACACTGAATACATTAATAACAAGTGAGAGACTCACACTTCTTGGCCATGTTATCACAACCCCACCTCATCCCCCCACCGACACACAGCTCATCTGTTGATGTACAATTTGTATTAGCCGCCTAGCCCTTCATCAGTCAGTTTCTTACCACAAAGCCGCTCTTGGCCGGATATGTTTGAGTGGTGTACCTAGCAGTGCCTGTTCAATCCTGCATCTTTTTTACTACCTAATTTGAGATCTGAGCTTGCAGTTTACAGAGTAACTTGGAAGGGAAGAGCCCCTGAAACATGAGGCAAATGCCCCCTTTAGCACATCATAAAGTCACAAAGACGTTCACTGAATAGCTGGCATTGGCATTGCATGTTAGCTGTAGTGACTGTTGGCTCATAATAACTATTTAATTAACAAATAAAATTGAAATATTCAAGTGTTCCTATTTTACTGTCATTCATCTTCTGTCTTGGTTTATTAAACATTAACTGAAACCGGTCAGACAAACATATGGAATATGGAAAAGTTTCTGCACCCCTGGTTCAAATTCAAAGTATTTGTTGATTTTCTAAGTAAAAAATAAGTTAAGCCCTCAAAATCTCAGGCTTATTACAAACTCAGGCTTATTATTCAGCAACTACAGTCTAAGACTTCAGTGCAAACTGGCTGAGCTATTATTAGGTTATAGAAGTTTGTAATAAAACTTTGGGCCCACTGTCTGGCCTGTGGCCTGTTAGAGGGTTAAAACACAGCTTGATTTCTTACTTTTGTTTTTCAGAGCACCCACTCAGAAAGGAGATGTTTATGAAGTACTGACAGCTTTAGATTGACTAACTTTGTACTAGTAAAAGATTGTAAGCTTTTTCTTGTTAGATTTTATCTGAAGCTAATACTAATGGATAAAGCAGCATGGCTTCAATGTTTTACTGCAGTAACAGGATTTTAAAAAGACTGAAAAATGATGAATTTGATGTTCTGATTAATGTTTGTTGGACTTTTAGTTTTGTTTCAGTATTAATTCAGGGTGCAAAATTGGTTAAGTGCCAACATTTGATTAGAAAGTTTAATTGAAAGAAGTTAACATTGATGCTTTAACGGTGAATTAACAGTGATTAAAAGATTGATTGCCGGGTTAACTCCGCCCCTTTTTAGGACTGAGCTGCTCCCCCAGTACCCAGAGCACACAGCACACAGCGCGTCCCTACAATGCAGCCGATACTGAGAGACGCATTTGATCCTTACTACGTTAATCGATGTTGCCTTTTATATGCATGTGCAGCAAAGAGTAACAGCACAAGTTTATTTCCACTATTTTTAAATCCTGCTGACATCAGGCCTGGTTCAGTTTCTCAAATGTACAAAAGTAGAGCACACCAGGCCTAACCTAAACCCACCCTTTCCTGAAAACTGCATCAAACCGGTATTGGGTTAAATATATGCACCACAGTTTAACACAAAGGAGCCACAAAACCACCAGATGCAAATGTGTTCAAGGCCTCTCTCTCTCTCTCTCTCTCTCTCTCTCTTTTATTAGTGCTGTTGTGTGAACAGGTCATGCTGAGCATTTTCAGGACAAAACATGACCTGACTTTGAAGGAAAACCACACTGACCACTGCAAGTTTTGTCATGATTTAGGCATGCATTTAGCAACTTGCTAACCAGTGGGGTATAAGCTTCCATTACTTCTTAGCCACATTAGCTCTAGTGCTAAGACTAAAGAGGCAAACTACATGTCTTGGCTGTTTACATTTAGGGGCAGAGGGGAAAACTGGGGAAGTTAGAATTTCTGTTGGACTTTGATATTAAATATAGATTATAACAGCAAGTTTCTGGTGTCCTTCGAGAATGACTGAATACATAAGTAAGGTCTGTTAACTGCAGTTCATTTGCAGTAGGCGTTGAGGGTGTAGTCATGTGACCATGAACCGAGAGTTGCAGTGAGACGACTGCCCTAATACAGCTTTACTAGGCAGTAAAACGCCAAGTGATTAGTCACTGGACTGAGCAGTGCAATCAGTCATGAACATTTGTATTTGGGCAGGAGAAAGAATGAGAAAACTATATATTTTCATATTCTTACATGGAGAGAGAGAGAGATAGAGAGAGAGAGAGAGAGAGAGAGAGAGCATCACTACTCACAGGAAACCATACTTTCACATCCTAACAGTTCATATCATTTTAAAAGTGTAGCCTAATCATATGCTGTCATAGGTACCAAGTATGAGCGGGGGTGGTAGGGGGTGGGTTTTGGGCACTGGGTCATTGGCCCTCCCAAAACTAAGGGGCATCCTAGCATGCAGCTAGACATGTGGTAGTGAAACTCCACAGAACCGTCTGAAAACTGCTGTGAAACTGCATTTAAAAGTAGGGATTTCGAGGATGCAGGCAGTTTCCCGACAAATCCGGCTGGTTTGAACCTGAAATGACACAGTCATAGGGTGCATTTTTGTGTGGACTTTCGGAATGAACTGCAGCTGCTGAAAAAGGTTTATACAATGCAAACCTATTTTCTTATCAAAACATATTGATCCTAATCTTGAATAGCTGGCAACCCAAGAACACACATATATACATACAATGAGAGAAGCGGCAGAAGAATGTGGCTCGTTCGGTGGTGACGCTGACTGTTCTAAACATGAAGCAGGCCAAACAAAAATGTATGGTGTGTTCTGATAGGGATTCAGCTGTTTAAATAGGCAGCATTTTAAGGCAGCGTTTGTGTGCATTTGTGAGGGCTGTCCCTTTCAGAAGGCAGCATATGGCAGCTGCCTGCTAAGGTGCCTTATTTTGACCAAATTTGAATTCATTATTGCATGCATCCTTGCAATCCCACAATACTGCTCACCGGCCGAGATTTCCCTCGCTTCAGTTTGATAAACATGGCAGATGAAGCAGCCATTTCTGCCAACTGAGGAGCTACAAATGTAAGTTATTTCTTGACTTCTGTCATCACTGTTCATTGATTGCTGTATTTATGTAAAGTATTTATCATATTTGTGTTTGTAGATTGCTAGAAATGGTTCCTGTGGTTAAATTTTAGCATTTCGCTTGTCTAATGCGACCTAATAGGCTGCATTTGTAACTCATTAGGTGAAGCTAATGTTAGTTAGCTGTGTAAACATGCTGGCTCTTCAAAACGAGAGTCCAGAAAATACCTGCTGTTCACTGTTTAGTAGTGCTTTTTATGTCGCTGCTGTTGGAAGAAAACCTTGTATCTCCAAAATGGTAACTTTACAGGAGAAGGAAAAAACCTACTTTACTTTTAATGTAAGTCAATGGAACCAGATTTTTTTGGGCTGTTTCTTTTGGCCCATCATCATGAAATTTACAAACAATGTAAAGTGTAACAGGAATTTTCAAATTATGTCAAAAGCTGAAAAACGTCAAAAATGGAGATACGAGATTTTCTTTTGACAACAGTGATATGTAAATAATGTAACAGTCTGATTCTACACTTAGGGATTTTTTTTGTCCTCAGAGAGTAACGTGACAGAAACAGAGAGGTGCTGGCTGAGTAGCCAAGGAAGAGGAGCTGTTACAGCAAAAAAAACTGTGCTCAGCGACTGAAAGCAGCTCACTTTTTCAGCGCATGTGGGGGAAAACACTGTGGAACCAGCAATACAGACCGAAGTTCTCCCTGAACGATGAAAAATACTTTAACTTACTGAACAATATAAAGTTCAGAAATAAAATGTTTTTTTAAAATAAAAAACACAAATGCTTATTTTTGCTGCTTTGCTTGTCTTGTATCTCTACATTTACCACAGTCACAACAGTGTTAGCTGAATGCTGACAGCTAAATTTCAGACTAGAAGCTCATAAATCAGATTATAATGCATAAAATAAAATGCACATTAGCCAGCTTATCAGATTGCGTGCCATCCTTTTTTTCTGAGTGTATTCTGAGTCAGAGATAAAACAGGCTCATTCAGGTGGATGAGGACAGTGAATGATGTGAAACTAGTGGTCATGATTATATATATTTATCTGTTGAGTCGAGTATATAACAACAGATACGACTCGAGTTAATCTAATATTTGTTAGATGAGATTATTCTTACACCATGTTTCAGATGTTTATGTTTGGACACATTTTGGGTCAGTTTTAACAAGCACCCTAGCGCTGCCTAGAGGCCTGGGAAGCAACAATGGGTCGGTGCCCAATTACAGCTGCTAAAGATTATCTATAACAACAGTCACTTTACTGAGATGTGGCCAGTATCAACACTGTAGAGCAGGGATCATAATCTCTTGCAACTGCTTGAGCTTCCTATCTTACTGAGTCTGTTTGTCTGTCTGTGTGTTTAACCCCTTAAAATCCTAGGCTTATTACATTGTAAGGCTTATGATTTAGTAACTACAGTGCAAACTGGCTGAGCTATTCTTAGGTTATAGAAGTATGTAATAAAAATTTGCGCCCTAGGCTGTTTAAGGGGTGAAATGTTTACCTTGCTAGTTATAAGCATATAAACAGAACGTCACTTTATGTTCTATGATTTTATGCTTGGTGATGGAGGGCACGTGAGAACTTTTTGCTATGTCATTAGCTTTATGTGTATATATGTGATGAATCAGGTTGTAGAAACAGAGAAAGACAAATATGTTTATTAAGTGCTTATAGATCATTAAACAGGAGAAGAGCTTAGCTCATCTCTAGCTCTGCGCCCAGCACTACACACTTGCACTCCAGCTTACATCATCCAGACTCAACACGTCCTTCCTTAAAATCAAAACATGCCTGTAAGGCCAGGGCTCACTACTTCAGTGTTCTTTAGCCCCCCTCAGTGGAGGGACTCTGCACTGCACAGTCACTCAGTGTCTTTGTCGTCTGAAGACTCACTTAAGGAAAAACCTGTACTGACACCTCTCTGCAATCATTTACACTTTATATCTTAATCAGTGTCATTTTATATAAAAAAACAAACCTAATTAATTCTCCTTAATGTCTGCACTGTATTTATTATTTAACCAAATCATGATGAACTGCACAGAGCTGAGAGCTCATGCTCACCACAACTTCAAAATCATCTAGAAACATCATCCAGCACAGAAAAGAAATAAAAATGCTAATTTTATTGAATGTCTGGAGTATTATTTTAAAGTATTGTCTAATTGTCTTAAAATAATGGTTTACTATGCTAAAATAATCTAATTTTAGTAATTACTTTCAAGACAGCAGAATGAGAGAAGGAAGGATACAACTTTTTTTTCCTCCTACATGGTGGAAAGAGGCTTTCACACAGCATGTGAGTCAAATAGTTGGCCATATTGTGCTGCTTTTATGTTAAATACGAAGTGTTCATTTGCATAAAAGAGATAATTCACTAAACTGGCCACGCCCACCAGTGCAAAGTGTCTGTCAGTAATTAGTGCCCTGTTTAGTAAATCTGCCTCTGGATGTCTATTTATTGTATGTTAGTGTTTCCCAGCTCCACACCTGCTCTATTTACTGTATTTATCTCTACTGACCTGATTCAGGTACAGGTGGTCATCAATAGCTGATAATGGAGCTCATGTCCATCAACATAGTGCAGCAGATTCAACTACATGACTGCTGATCCACTTGTAGAAGGTAACATGGAAGCAATGTAATTAATTACCAATAGAGGGCGCCACCTTCTCATAAACTGGTAAAGCTCACTGTATCAAAGAACAGTTTACTTACAGTACAGTAAATAATTGTATATTATTATTATGATGTTGGGGATTTATGAGCTCATTGTCTAAGAGCTTTATTTCCAGGACTTTATTGACTGTTTTTATTACCTGATGTGCACCTAATTACCTAATGTGCAATGAAGAAACTGTGCAGCTTCTAACCACAACCCAAAACCTAATCCTATCCCTCACCCTGGCCCTAATCTTAACCCTAACCTTAATCACAACCCAAAACCTAATCCTAACCCTCACCCTGACCCTAATCCTTTTCCTAACAGTGCGGCTACATCATTGATGTGTTGTTGATGTTACAGAGAGTCTGTTGAGTGTTTATTTTATCTAAAAAGGTCACTCAGAATAAAGTCTCACTGTCCTCCTCTATGCCGTTCTACCAGTTCAACAAATGTAACAGGCAGAGACTCGAAAATTATAACTTGTGAAATTTTATATAGAGAAAAAAAAAAACATGAACAGAACTATTTTTGTGCAGCCATTTCTACACTGCTGTCCTCCTGCAGCTCGCAGTGGCACCATCAGCAATCAGAGCCTTTCACTGTAGAAAAACCTTCAGTCTGAGGAAGAGAATAAAGAGCTACACACAGAAAAAGCAGAAAGGAGGCAAAACAACTAGCATGTAATTTGGAAGGCAAATATGTTAGCTACTGCAGTAGCTGTCAGCTATTCTAAGTGAAGTTTTAGTAAGTTATTTCTTTTGTCTTAATGTGTGTATGTGTGTGTGTGTGTGTGTGTGTGTGTGTGCTGGCATGAGGTGTAGAATGAATCACAGTCATATGCTTTGTGAATGCTGAGAGTTTATTATAGTTTGAGAAATCACACAAATGAATTTGTATATTTAAGAAAGAATAATGATTTATTTAATGCCAAATCCACTTCAAATGAACTAAAAAAGGAAAATAAATTCAGACGTAACGTTTTTTTTTTTTGTTTTTTTTCTCCTCTGAATCATTTAATAAAACCTCTGTGGGGTTTTCAGGTTCTGGTTCTCTTCAGTCTATACAAAAAAAAAAGAAACATAAAAAACATACAATAGAATTAACCCACATGAACTACTGCATCTTGTATTACAGTTAGAGATACTTCATATGCACTGATGTAGTTGTAACTTTGCAGAGTTCAGCTTCAACTGGGATCACACACACCTGCTCTAGACTATCTATTTATTTATTTATTTATTTATTTCATAAAACATAAGCATAAATGACTTCTGTACTTCACCTACTACACTAATGAGTGCTTCTAATGGTGTGCACTATTTTTGCATACTATTTAGCGTATTAGTATGATGTTTGGAACGTGAAAATAATAATGCAGTGGGAAATCTCAGCCGTTTAGATAATAGCTTTCGTTTGTCATCACTACAACCACAAATCAAATGAAATCAAGTCAGTACAGTCAAATACGCTGATTAATGTGCTTTAAAAATTAAAAAGTGTTAAATATGTTTTACTGCCTTTGCTGGATCAGTCATAGCTTTATCTCATTAGAAGCTGCCACACAGCTGAATTACTTGAAGTTGTTGGCCAAATTGGTGGCAGCGTGATTGTGAAGTCATTAGAATATACTACCATCATAGCGAGAATTTCTTAATAAAATGACTCAAGACAACTAAATATTCTCTATCAATGAGGTTAGTAATCTTAAATTAAGCTTACAACAATCTCAACAGGAGAAATATTAGTTTTCAACTGTATTTAATATAATTTTACTTGAAAAGATACCATTTTCAATGGTCATAAAAAATGTTCACCCTACATCTGGTTTATAAACATCTTCACTGGTGTCTGAAACAGGCAGCTGAAAATGAACCCAACAGTGTAGATCTATGTAGATGAGGACTGACACAATTTTAATGATGTTATACCTTTAAACCTCAGGGTAGACAGCATGTTTGGCAATACCACACTGGTTATTCTTGTTCCTGGACATCTTGATGTAGCCTTTATCACCCCAGTTAACACCCCAGCTGCAAAATAAATGTTGGATATTCACTTTTGTGTTCTGAGCAAAGCATATTACCCTTTCCTGTCAATAAAGTGATCAGGAATTGTCTTTGTAAGTGTTTTGTTAGCTCGTTTATTTACCTGTTCTTGACCAGCCAGTAGTCCTGTGTGTTACCTTCAGTGCCGTAACCAACAAGCAGGACGGCGTGACTCAGCTTAGAGCTGCTGCAGTTCGGCTCATCATACACACCTGTAATCATTCAGGTTACCAGCTGTTAGTTAGGATGTTCAACAATTAATCACTAAAGTATCTGGTGAATCAAATAATAATGCAAGACAACAGCAAACCCAGACACCCTGAACAAGCAGGAGGCATCATAGAAAACTCAACTCACAGCAATCTGAAAACGCTGTTTACATAAATTCATGGAAATCTGTTAGACCTCTCGATGCTAAAGCAGCAGATTTTTATGTTTAATAAGAAGGAGGTCTTAGCGACCGAAAGCTGTCCCTTCATATAAGCTAATACTAATTAGTCAGAGCAATGTTGCAACTTTTGAGCAACTTTAATGAAACAATACAAATGAAATGAAAAATAAACAGCTCCAGGTGATCAGGACAGCGTGAATCAGGCATTATGCGCCTCACTGACACCTCTCCACCACTTCTTACTGTAATCACTCTGACTGAGTTTCTCCTTCGACTGATGAGGAAGGAATGCTTAGAGATGTTTGTGATTGGCTTGTGATTGTTTTTTCATTCATGTAAGCCTCAACAAAGATGCCAGATGTTAAAGCGTACAGCAGGTCTTACCTGACTCATAGAGCTGGAAGCTGTGCCGGGAGGCATTTATGAGAACAGAAATGGGTCCGATTTTGGCCACTGCGGACTGCAGAGCATTTTCTGTGGGTTTCACCCATTTGTAGTTGGAGCATTTAGCCCAGGCTCTTGCGTTATTAAACCTGCATTCACCTTCCTGCAGAGGGACAGAAACAGTCAGGACCCTTCTAGCTCAAAGTTTAAAGGGATACTTTCAAAAATCTTTACACAACCCCCCCCCCAAAATGTAGGAAACTGGAGCTATAAGGCTAACAACTAAGAACCCAACAAATAACACTGTGAAAACTGCATGCCCAAATCTTCACACATCTGTTTGCCATACTGTTATAAAACTGGACAAACATGCATCGACGTTGGTTTTCATTTCTTCTTAGCTTCAATAGCATTGCAGCTCCAGTGTAAAACTAAAGAAGCAAACTTCAGAAAAGACAAATGTCTTAGCTGATTAAATATATTTGGTGTAAGGACAAATTGGTGCATTCGTGTTAATTAAACTATTGGCATTATTAGCTACTGTAGCCTCACCTTGGCCTGATATGGATAAGTGCTCATTTTCTCCAGGCCTCCACTGGACTTGATGTACTTGAAGGCCTTGTACGGCCAACCACCTCGACAGCCATGGTTTCCAAAACTCCGGGAGCAGTCCACCAGCTGTTGTTCGCTTAAGCTTACCAGCTTCTTTGTCTTCTTGTACATCTGACCCTCGAGCGCCCCCGCCTGAGAGAGGGGCATGACAGAAAACAGGTCAAACAGGTAAAAAAATAGAAATGCTAAGGCTATGCTTTCTTCCTTAAATTATTCTCTCTTTAAAGTTCCCCTCTTCCACAGCACCCCTACTCCTATTTTTAACCCGTGGTCATCCATAAGCTGATGACATGAAAATATTACTCATATCGTAATCTTATGTTTCCATAATTAATATGTAATTATTATTTATTATATCTGTTTATTTAAGCACCTAAATTGGTTTTGAAATATATATATATATATATATATATATATATATATATATATTAATGTATACTGAAACGGTCGGAAATTTCAATTATACCACAAAGTTTTGCCCATACCACTCAAATTATCCCTCCATCTGGTTCTCCCTCTCTGCCTGTCCTGCTGTAACTCACCGCACTGAAGGCCCAACAGGAGCCACAATGACTTTGGTCCTTAACCCTGGTCACATAGCCCCTTTTCCTCCAATTCACAGCTCGGGGCAGAGCAGCGCCCTCTACTGGTTGGAGAAACATAGTCGCACTCTCGATCTCGGACTCATTGAAGGATCCCAGGCAGCCGTTCAGCATCTGCTGGTACTCCTGATTGTCCTGTTCGAGAAGATGGTGAGAGGATTGTGGCTTCCCAGAGGTCAAATACAGTTACTGAACAGCACAAAATAAAGAGTTGCAGGAAAGATTCAGTGAATTGTGTAATGAAATGTCTAAGTGAGATCTCACCATGTCTGCAAAGTGGTTCATGCCGAGTCTGTAGCTTTTGATGCCCTGGTCAGCCAGCATGTTGTGCTCCAGCACCAGCTTACGATTGTCCAGCCAGATCATCTTACGCTGAGACTCTTCTTCCACTGAACCATAACTCTTACCTGAGAGGAAACATTTTTTATGCAGGGGTGCCAATGGCCTTAATGCACTGGGGAAATGAGTATAAGTTTAGATGGCGCAATACTGTGATGTTGGCGTATAATGAGACACACGAAACATTACGCATGCGGGCAAATGCTCTTTTTTTTTGAAGATGGCAGAAAGGCACTTCAATAGGCAGTGAGAAATGCCCCACCCAGCACTGCTGAATCACAGCAAGAACAGAGCAGAAGGTCACCAACTGCCACACAACTTCACGGAAGACACTGTCTCCCACTCTAACTATCCCACAGCTGAGCACAATACACCATAAAGACCACCTACACATGTCTTAGACTAACATCAACACTGTTACCATATAATAGTCTAATATAACTTTTATCTAATGAAAGTTTCCTTAAACATCCAATGCACAAATAAACTAGATTTTAAAATATAATTCTTTCAGATTCATGCAGCCAAATGTGGGAAATAATATATAAAGATTTCTCACCAAACTTTACTTTCCAGTCATGGAACTCCAGATCCTCCAGAGAGACATTGGCAGCACCGGCCACCACCACAAGGGCGGTGAGAACAAGCAAAACCCCCATTCTGAACAGAGTAAGTCTCTGTGGTGGTTAGAAGGGGTGAACAGAATAAACAAAACGACATGAATTCAATTTAAGTTAATTGCATTTATAGTTCACAGTAAATAACAGTAAATCCAGCATTCACACCAGCATTATTCCATTATTAATATTTCAGGATGTTTCCTGAAGTATTTACTGAAAGTCCTTTTTTAACATAGTAAATGCACATAGTAAGTGTAAATGGTATAATAATACTAATAATAATAATAATATGTAATAACCTAGTTACATTAAGTCAAAATGACTGGCCGTGTGGTTAAAGACATTTTCTTCTCACATCCAGTAATCTCAACTTACTACTAGTACACTGTTAGAATTAGTTTTATATAAACATTAATTAATTCATTTGTCAGTTATTTTTGAAGCAAAGAATTTCACACGCTTCACTCCAGCCTGAACACAGTGGAGGTGAATTAATGCCAAGAGTGAACCAAAGTAACTCAGCAGCCTCGAAACCTGCTTCAACCTTCTGTTCCTGCTGAACTAACTTTAACTCTGTATTTTTTTTCTGTTGAATTCACAGCTCTGCGCTTACCTGCGAGTGATCTCCTGCAGCCTTGAAGCTCTCTGTAAGTATGATGAGTTAGCTAGCTATATATGTCCACCCCGTTTCCTGGCATTATTATGACAAATGTGCTCTGCTCACCACAAACACCTCACTGAAGACAATGTGTTCTCAAATAAAAACTGCATTCACAGCCTTCAGCATGCTAATTTGGCCTTATTAATTGTTCTGTGGACTGATGAGTTAAAAGTGGAACGTTTTGAAAGATGGAGGTTCTGTGACATCTGGTGTAAGCATGGCATTAAGAACATTCACCAGCAGTGAAACATGGTGGTGGTAGTGTGATGGTGTGGGGGATACTTTGCCATAATTGAGAACCGTGAATTCTGCTCTGTACCAGAATCTCCTGCAGTAGAACATCCGACCATCAGTCTGTGATCTGATAATGCAGATAACGCAGCAAGATAATGATCAAAAACACAAGAGCGAGTTCACTCAACCCATTTTGCAAATAAGAGTGGGCCGACATTCCTTCACACATACCCAGCTATCACCATGTCTTAAGACATGTCTTATGAAGACATATTAAGACATCTCGAGGGATGTGTTCAGAAATGAAGACATGACTATAAAGCAGGTCTAATATAGTATAGACACAGTCTTAAGATATCTTGTCCATAATAATCTCCAAAAATGTCTCACAATGTAGAATGAATATTACTTAAGTTTTAATACAGGTTTACTGCAAAAGAAAAAAAAAATCTGTTTTTAATGTTTCAATTATGTCATTAACTGTAATATTGATCGGGTAAAAATACACATATATTCCAGTTATTAAAAATTACTATTATTTTACATAACTTGGTGAATTTTTATTTTACAATTTATGCCTGTAATAATACAGTAACAAGTCTCAAATTAGAAAAAAAAAAACATTTTCAGTAAAAGTATGCAATTTTTTGTAAGTTTTCTTGTGCAACTGTCCAAACCCTTCAATTAGCAGTAATAATAAAACACATAAAAATGAATCAGTCAAAAACTGCTGCATTAATATAATTTATAGGGTAAATTTACAAGGTTTGTAAACATGCAGTTATTTCACCAGTTATTTTTTATTGACTGGTAAATATTTTTTTTATTGGAAAATGACACCTAAAGTCTGAAGGCACAAAAATAAATTCTTTATATTTTTAACAACAACAATAATAATAATAATAATAATAATAATAATAATACAATTTTTAAAATGTGTCAAACAGACTCTAATGAACATAATTAGATTCATTAAAATTATTTTTCAATGACATGGATTCAGAAACCAACTGTCCACATATACCGATCAGGCATAACATTGTGACCACCTCCTTGTTTCTATGCTCATTGTCCATTTTATCAGCTCCACTTACTATATAGGTGCACTTTGTAGTTCTACAATTACAGACTGTAATCCATCTGTTTCTCTGCACACTTTGTTAGCCCCCTTTTACCCTGTTCTTGAGTGGTCAGGACCCCCATGGACCCTCACAGAGAAGGTGCTATTTGGGTGATGGATCATTCTCAGTACTGCAGTAACACTGACGTGATGTGGTGTGTTAGTGTGTGTTGTGCTGGTACGAGTGGATCAGACACAGCAGTGCTGCTGGGGTTTTTAAACACTGTGTCCACTCACTGTCCACTCTATTAGACACTCCTACCTTATCAGTCCACCTTGCAGATGTAAAGTCAGAGACGATAGCTCATCTGCTGCTGCACAGTTTGTGTTTGTCATCCTCTAGTCCTTCATTAGTGGCCACAGGACGCTGCCCACAGGACGCTGATGGCTGGATATTTTTGGTTGGTGGACTATTCTCAGTCCAGCAGTGACACTGAAGTGTTTAAAAACTTCAGCAGCACTGCTGTGTCTGATCCACTCAGACCAGTGCAACACACACTAACACACCACCACCATGTCAGTGTTACTGCAGTGCTGAGAATGATCCACCACCCAAATAGTACCTGCTCTGTGAGGGTCCATGGGGGTCCTGGTCACTGAAAAACAGGGTAAAAGGGGGCTAACAAAGTATGCAGAGAAACAGATGGACTACAGTCTGTAATTGTAGAACTACAAAGTGCACCTATTAGGGTGCAGGACGGAGAGCCAATCGGGCTGAACCAGCTGATAATATTCACCTGTGCCTTGTTTTTGCCAGACTACTTACAGTCATCTCTTTTCTCAGTAGGTGGCAGAGCCCAGAGAGAGAGTTTTTTTTTTCTTATAAAATAAAAGTCAAATAAAAGTCTTTCTCCACACTCTGCTCCCAGTGTCCTCACTCCTCCCACCCTTCTAAAATCATTACAGTTGTGTACAGTAATAGTAGTATTACATTTGAACAAAACTATGTTTATTGCAGTTAGCAATTTCAGAAATTAAAAATTTAATTAAATACTTTAAAAAAGCTATAAAAATTACTGGCCTTGGAGTTCGCCAATGAAGTATACAAAAGGAAGACAAGATACATCTGTGTCCAGTTCAGGTTTCCCTCTGTCCAGACAGTTTTGAGGGATTTCACTGCAGGAAATAAGTGTAGAATAACTCACACTGCCTAGTAGCTAAAGAAGCCACGGTCATACGGGTCGAGCAGCAGTGGCGAAAATCCCAGCCTACAGCAAATTCTTGTCAGAATTTTGTGGCCAAAAGACGAAACTGATGGACAGGGACCACTGGCATGTTTAATGGCTTGTGAATAAAAAATGCTTCACTTCCAGGCAAAAGCTGCTTCTAGAAGTCAACGCATGTCCATCACAACCAATTTCTGAAAGAACACTCTGCAGGGAACAGCATACCATGAACATATGGAGCAGAGTGGCATGCAAGAGACTCACTTCTGCTCACAGAGTTGCCCAGTTACAGTGGACGAAGAGACACAAAAACTGGACTGTTCTTTTTTTTTTTTACCCAATTTTCTCCCCAATTTAGTCGTTTCCAATTCAAACTGCTAGTTAGGACTCCCCCAATCACACGATACTTTCAATGCTAGGAGGGTGAAGGCTAACACAGGCTTCCTCCGAGACCTGTGAAGCCAGCCGCTGCATCTTTTGGAACTGCTGCTCACGCAACGTCACTGGACAGCTGAACGCGCTCGAAGGAAAGCGACAACTGCCAGTTCTGCTACGTCAGCTAACAGACGCCTGCGCTGACTTGCATCGCGTTGGGTGATGGGGGGAGAAGGGGGGCCATCCTACCCTCCCAGAGAGAGCAAGACCAATTGTGCTCTCTTGGACTCCTGGCTACGGATGGCTGTAGCATCAGCAGGGATCAAACTCGCGATCTCCCGTTAAAAGGGCCAAAGCTTAGACGGTTGTGCCACTCGGGAGCCCCTAACTGGACTGTTCATGACTGGAAACGTGTTATCTGCTCAGATGAATCTCGTTTCTGCCTGTATGTGAAGAAGTATGTGAAGTGATGCTGGGCATCATGTTAATCGTAGACCTCAGGAAGCCTTCCATGAGGACTGTGTGCAAGGTGTGGTTCAAGCTGGAGGAGCTCTGTGATGTTCTTGGGGTGTTTTAACTACATGGAAATGGGTCCTTTGGTTGAGGTGACAGTAAATGTGAACCATAGTGCCGACATTGAGCTGCTGGTCAACCAAGTTTTGCCTTTTGCAGGGCTGCAAATGTGACTGATTGGCATGATGAACATCCAGGTGCATTTACACATCTGGACTGGTCCGCAAAACCCCCAGATTTGAGTCCTCTTGAAAATCTGTGGGAACACCTGGAACAACTAGTAAGACGCCAGGAAAGGATCCATGAAATCTGGCCGAACTGTGCAGTGCTTTGATGCAAGAGTGGCTGAACACTGATGGCACCTACATTCAGAAACTTGTCCAGTCCATGTAAAATCAAGGAGCAATTACACGGTATCAGGTATGTTTCAGCCACAGGTGACTAATTTTTTGTCCAGTGAATTTACATTTCTATTGAAGCATATTCACGCAACCTTTATTACAACACAAATGTCTTAATTTGATAATTTTAACATTAAATAAGTCCTGTGTCTCTTTCTTCAGCTTTCCATGATAGATCTGTTTAATTTACAGAATAATCTCTCTGATGTTTTCTCTTCGTGTACATCTCACTTAGTCTTTTTCTCTCGAGGAAACCCTTGAGTTTGTGTGTTTTTCACAGACCTTTGAACTTCCTCTAGGTAAGTGGGCATGAATGAGTTCAGACCCAAAAAAGGATAAGGTATAAAATATTTCAAATATGACAACTGAAAACAACAGAAACCGTTTGGAGTTCACCAGTTTAGCCCCATGGAAGAAGCCCAGGGTGTTTGAATTGGTTTCAGTGACATAATTCACATGACTTTGGTTTGGTTTCAACTGAACTGTTTTAAGACACTAAGGCCCAATCCCATTTCACTTCTTGCCCCAACCACTTAGCCCTTACTCTTCTATTTTGCATGTTAACGTCAAGGGAAGCTAAGCAAAAGAAAACAAAGGAAGAGACTGAAAAGTCCCAGTGAGCGTCTTGTCTTAATTTGTCTGTGGGCTGAAAAGCTCAGTGGTTTTTGTGTTGTGTATAAATAAAATCTAGCTCTCCGTCTCCACACCTGCCCCGGCGCCCTCACTCCACCCATCCTTAAAGTTGTTACATAGGACTACATGGCCCTCCGAACGGAGGTATTACAAAGACACACTCCAAACAGAGTGTTATGAGAAAAAAGAAAAACTGCAAACCAGAGCGCGCTAGACCTACTCGTTCCTGAAAACTGCATCATACCAGTATTGGATTAAATATATACACAACAGTTTAACACAATTGAGCTACAAAACCACCAGCTGCAAATGTGTTCAAGGCCTCTCCCTCTCTCTCTCTCTCTCTCTCTCTCTCTCTCTCTCTCTTATTAGTTATTGTCATGTTAACAGGTCATGCTAGAGTGAGTTTTCTGAAATTTCATAAGATGCTAAACACAAGCTGAGCAAACAGAATAACAATAAACAACACTGACAAGGTTTTATACATTTTCAGGACAAAAAATGACCTGATTTCCAAGAATAAACAGAAACCTGACCAACAAAAATGTGACAGTTTAGGCATGCTATTAGCACCATG